GGAAATTGAAAGAATCCACTGATCACCTCCTGAAAGAGATCCCCAGGGGAAGCTAGGTGGCACAGTGAATAGAGCGCTGGACCTGGAGTCAGGAGGACCTGAGTTCAAATATGACCTCAGACAGATGAGACTCACTATCTGTGTGACCCTGGGCAAATCACTTAACCCCGATTGCCTGGCAAAAAAAAAGAAAAGAAAAGAAAGAAATCCCCAAAGGAAAACTCCAAGGAATATTATAGCCAAATTCCAGAGTTCCCAGGTCAAGGAAAAAATACTACAAGCAACCACAAAAAATCAATTCAAGTATTGTGGAAACACAATCAGGATAACACAAGATTTAGCAGCTTCTACATTAAGAGAATTGGCTTGGAATATGATATTCTGGAGGGAAAGAAGCTAGGATTACAACCAAGCATCTTGCAAAACTGAGTATAAGCTTTCGGGGAAAAAAATGGATATTCAGTAAAATAGAGGACTTTCAAGCATTCTTGATGAAAAGACTAGAGGTGAGTAGAAAATTCGACTTTCAAATACAAGACTCAAGAGAAGTATGAAAAGGTAAATGGGAAAGAGAAATCATAAGGGACTTATTAAATAAGTTGAACTGTTTACATTCATACATGGAAAGATGATATTTGTTAACTCATGAGACTTTTCGCAGTATTAGAGTAGTTGGAGGGAATATATATGTAGACAGAGGGCACAGGGTGAGTTGAATATGAAAAGATGAGATCTAAAATACAAAGTTAAGGGGTGAGAGACAGGATTGTACTGGGAGAAGGAGAAAGGGAGAGGTAGAATGGGGTAAATTACCTCACATAAAACAGCCAAGAAAAAGCTTTTACAGTGGAGGGGAAGTGGGGGAAGGTGAGAAGGAATGAGTGAATCTTATTCTCATAGGATTTGGCTTAAGGAAGGAATAACATACACACTCAATTGGATATGGAAATCTATCTTACCCTAGAGGAAAATAGGAGGGAAGGGGATAAGAGAGGAGAGATGATAGAAGGAAGGGCAGATTGGGGGAGGGGGTAATCAGAAGCAAACCCTTTTGAGGAGGGACAGGGTCAAAGGAGAGAATAGAATAAACATGAGTGGGATAGGATGAAGGGTAATATAGTTAGTTTTTCACAACATGACTATTATGGAAGTGTTTGGCATGAGTACACATGTATAACCTGTATCGAGTTGCTTGCCTTCTCGGTGAGAGTGGGTGGGGAGGGTGGAAGGGAAAGAATTTGGAACTCAAAGTTTTAAAAACAAATGTTAAAAATTGTTTTTACATGCAACTGGGAAATGAGATATACAGGCAATGGGGTATAGAAATCTGTCCTGCCCTATAGGAAAATAGAAGGGGGAGGGGATAAGAGAAGGGAGGAAGGGTGATAGAAGGGAGGGCAGATTGGGGGAAGGGGTATTCAGAACACATGCTGTCTTGGGGTGGGAGAGGGGAGAGATAGGTAGAAAATTTGGAACTCAAAATCTTGCGGAAATGGATGTTGAAAACTAAAAATTAATTAATAAAAAATAAAATGTACTTATATAAAGCTACAACACTATGACCTTTTGCTCATTGCCCCTACTTCTGCATTATGGGACGAAGCAGAGCAAGTCCTTCTGCTATGTGGCAGCCCGCCTTTGTTCAATGTGTTCAGTCATTTTTCATTCATATCTGACTCCTTGTGACTCCAATGGGGTTTTCTTGGCAGAGATACTATAGCAGTTTGCCATTTCCTTCTCCAGTTTATTTTACAGATGAGGAAACTGAGGTCAACTATGTAAAGTGACTTGCTCAGAGTCACACAGCTAGTAAGTATCTGAGGCTGAATTTGAACTCAAGAAGATGAGCCTTCCTGATTTCAGACCCAGCACTCTATCCATTGTGCCACCTAGCTGTCCCCTTTGTTCAATAAAAGTCAATTAATATGTACTTTTTAAAGTAAAATTATTTTATTTTCAATTCATGGAACAAAACAAGCATTTCCATAGCACAATACAATAAAAATACAAAGGCAAATCTACCATGCAACTTGCTATCCCCCCAAAATATACAATAAAGTTAACATGTAAATTTTTTTTTCTTTTTTTTTCTCCCCCCACCCTGGCCTAGACGTGGCCACCATTAGACACAAATGTACACGCACACACACACACACACGCACGCACGCACACATAATACATATATATATATATGCAAAATTATTCTTACATATTTTCATTTATCAGTTCTTTTTCTGGATGCAGATAGTTTCTTTCTTCATATGTCCTTTATTTTTAATTTGTGTATTTATAATAGTCAAAATGACTTAGTCTGTCAAAGTTATTCTTAAAACAATATTGCTATTATTATATACAATGTTCTCTTGACTATGCTCACTTCTCTCTTCATCATTTCATGCAAGTTTTTCCATGCCTTTATAAGATCATTGAGCTTATCATTTCTTATAGCACAGTAGTATTCTGTCACAATCATACACCACAACTTGTTCAACCATTCCCCAATTGATGGGGATTCCTGCAATTTCCAGTTCTTTGCCACCACAAAGAGAGCTGCTAAGAACATCTCATTCACATTCAAAGATATAATTACTATTCATGAATTTTCCTCCATCTTATTTTTACTCACTGTTTTCCTTCTCAACCTCTCTTTTACCTTATCCCTGTTACCCCATCACCTCCTCTCACCTTCAATCCACTAAAATCCTCTAAAAGTCCCTCTCCCACCCTGTTCCCCAGCTTTCTCACCTCTCTACATGTTCAGAAGACTTTTACACCCTTCTAGATGTACACATTGTTTCCTTTTCAACCCAAATGAGAGTAAGCAAGGCACTGTCCCAAGCACTAAGCAGAGAAAGAAAGAGCAAAAACAGCCCTTGCTCCCAAGGATCTTACATTCTAGGAGGGGATACAACATATACACAAATATGTACACACAAGATTAAAAATGACCATAATGGCTACAACTATATAGTCCTTTAAGGTTTACAAAGTGCTATACAAACATCACATTTTAAATATAACATATTATATAATATAATATTTTATAATAATGAATAGATAGAGAGTTGCTTAGAGGGGAAGGCTCCAGTTGCTTAGGAGACCAGAAAACACCTCCTCTTGAAGTCAGCTGTTGAGCCCAGTCTTGAAGAAACTCAGGGATTCTAAGAGGCAGTACTTAGGAGAGAGGACATTCTGGATGTGAGTCAGCCTATGCAAAGGCATAAAAAGAGAAGATGGAGCACTTTATGTAACAGCAAGAATACTCGTCCCTGGGCTAGGCTGGTCCCTGGGAACTTCCCCTGTACTTATATTTGAGAAAAAAAGTGTCCTTAAACAAGAATTCTTTCTGACCTCATTTTTGATCAAACATTCCCTTAAAGACTACCAATTAAGGGAGGCGCACTAGTTCTCAAGGCAGATTACTCCACTTTTGGATAACTATAAGGAAGTTTTTTCCTGATATCAAGCTTAATCCTAAACCCACGCATTATGTATCCTGGTGATATTTTCAGCTAGTCAATTAAGGTGGGCAAGTAGTATAGAATGAGTTGATTTTCTTTAAATATCAAAGGGGCTAAGGAGAGTTGGAGACAACTGAAATGAACCTTTCTTGTCAAGCAATATGGTCTCTGAGGAACTCTGAGAAAGAACATAGCTTTCATGGCACATTGAGTACAAGTTTTTGAGTTTACAATCCATTCTGAAATGGAAAAATCATCCTTGAAGAAAAACCATTTGGGTAATGGTCAGCACTGATTTATTATTTTAACAATTATCACCCTAATGACCATAGTTAATATATATCTTCATATACATTTGTGTGACTATTATGTATATAAATATATGTTCACATGTATGCATATATATATAAATCCCTTGAAAAGTTATCAATACATTTTACCATAATAACAACTCTGTAAGATAGGTATTATAAGTATTATTAACCTCATTATATAAACATGGAAGCTGATAATCACAAGGTTTAAGGAACTTGCCCATATTCACAGAGCTAATATCACATGCAGGATTTGATCCCAGGACTTCTGATTGCAAGTCTAGTTATTCTATTCTACCACACAGCCTATAGAAGGTTGTGAATGTGCTTTTATGCATTTAGGAGGTGAGAATATCCACAGGAGGGTCACCAAGATAGTGAAGAATTTCAAAATTATACCATAATTTCATTTGAAATTCATTTGAAGGAATTGGGATGTTTAGTCTGAAGAGTAAAAGTCCTTGAACCATGATAGCTGCTCTTAACTTATTTATAAGGTTGTCACATGGAAGAAAGATTAAAGTTGCTCAGCTTGGCCTCAGACGGCAGATGTATGAGTGGAAATTGAAAAGAAGCACATTTAGATCTTATATAAGGAAAACTGGTGTGGCAGGCTCTACCAGTAGATAGAGCACTGGGCTTAGAATCAGGAAGACTCATGTTCATGAGTTCAAATCTGGCCTCAGACACTTAACTAGTTGAGTAACCCTGGGCAAGTCACTTAACCCTGTGTGCCTCAGTTTCTCATCTATAAAATGAGCTAGAGAAGGAAATGACAAACCACTCCAGTATCCTTGCCAAGAAAACCCCAAAATGGGGTCATGAAAAGTAGGACATGACTGAAATGATTCAAAATCACAAAAGAAAACCTTCCTAGCAAATAGAGCTTACAGAATTATTGTCCCCACCTTATCCCAATTCACCACCACCACTACTAGAAGGCCTAAGACAGAGGCTAAAGTGCCACTTGTCAGGCATGGCGTAGAGGAAATATTTGTTTGGGTATGGGTTGGATCAGAAGAACTCTAAGTTCCCTTCCACCACTGACATTCCATGATTCTGTAATTACATGATTGTTCTGAGAGAGTCACTGATCTCACTCAATTCATCACTCCCCTCATTGCTGTTAAAAAACTAAACTGCACACTTAGAAAATAAAGTCTTTAGGCATCAAGAAAAGTTGTGACATTAATTTTATTTTAAAAGACCATTCTTTATTTCCCAGGTGTGATGGGAGAATATGAGCCGAAAATTGAGGTCCATTTTCCTTTCATGGTTACAGCTGCTAAGGGAATGACAGTCAAGATGGAATGTTTTGCGCTTGGCAAGTAAGTACATATTCTTTGATAATTAGACAAAATTGTTCATTAAAATGTGACATATGTAATTTTTGGTTCGGTTCTTTTTGCTGGGTTTCATTTTCCGAGAACGTCATAGGGTATATACTAGATTCTTATAAGGCTGGCAAGTGGGAATTGTAAGTAACCAATTATAAATTCCCTGTCTAGTGATTGCTAAGGACAGTAATGTACGTGATTCTGGCATGTGCTGTTTTCAACATAAGAAGCGAACTTCTCCCAATAAATGAGGAGATGTCATATATATTTGCCTGCTTTTCATATGATTGTATTCCAGTGTTTGGTACTTGTGAATGCCATCAGGCCTTATCCTAGAGTTTCCTTTAGTTTTTACATAAATCTTCTAATTGGAAGTCAACTAAGATGATGGTGTTGCTATCCAGTTTCTGGATAATGTGCAGATTCTGATAAGAAATAATGAAACAATGTTTGAAAAAATCATACAGACCTAATTGTGATAGTAGTTATACTGAGCCCATAATTACTTCCACATCTTCTGAGATAATGATAAAATGATAGTACCAGCTGTCTCCATGTAAAACACCTAATCATTCCAAAAATCAGCAAGATGATTTATAGCAGACCCAACTGCCTTCCTACATTTCAGGTTTACATTTGTAATAGTTTGTTTTCTACAAAGGTACAAAAACTTACCAGTGATGTTTGTTTATAATACATATGCTGGAAGTTGGAGGAGGGCTTGGAATTTTGATTATCTTTGATTAGAACATGATTATTTATTTTCAACATCATGTCTCCAAGGGCAGTGAGACTTCAAGGTCTTTTCTAGACCATATAATTATAATTTGCTTGAATTGTATCTCTGTATATCACTTTTCCTAATCATTTTACTTCAGTAGTTGATGAACTACCAAAACATTTGTTTAGGGATTAAATGAGCTACATAAAAATGCAAGTGATTATTGAAGTTATTATAACACATGGTTGAGAAATAGCACAGCAAACATTTAAGGGTTAGAAAGGTAAAATAACAGTTGATGGAATGATCCCAATGAAACTTCCTCCTAAAGTGAAAACTTCAATTGTGATTCTACTTTAACCAAATGTAACCACTTTGAGGGGGAAAAAAAGCAGGTCTTATATTTAATCTGAGTTCATGAATACTCCACAATTACACTATGCAAAGAATTTATTTAAATAATATTATGTGTAATAGCACAATAAAAGAACTTAACACTCATCAAGGAAATATTTTTTCCCTTGTTACAAATATGGATAGTCAAGCAAAACAAATTCCTACATTGGCCATGTCCAAAAATATATGTCTCATTCTCTGAAACTGTCCCTTTCATTATTTCTTGAAACACAACAATATAATACTACGTTCATATATCATAATTTGTTTAGCTGGACCCCAAATAATGGGCTCTCCTTAGTTTCCAGTGTTTTGTCACTATAAAAAAAAAAGAGCAGCTATAAATATTTTTTGAACATGTGAATCAAAGTAATATTTAACCAGGTGTTTTAGAAAACTTTTAAAAAATCATACATTACTGAATGAGTGGTTTCTGTAAACAGAAAATTACCTAGTATAGGAAAACATATCTGGTTTCAACATCTGCACATGTATCTTGTGTGCTTAAAAATATCTGTTAATCTTACCATGTAACGGGCTGAACACTCAAGGGTACCTGAACCACAGCTTAAGATATATATCCTGACTTCATTTGGCTTGATGCTAAAGGTTTTACTACAACCCCAAGTTAAATAACTCTTAAACAATAGCATTTATACTAAAGCTATACAAAGCTATACAAAGAGAGGTCAAATTGAGAACAAATTAGAGAGAATTAGATTTATATAGCAAAAATAATATGTTTCCCCAAGAAGGCTTACTTAGTAAGTTAGAATCACTTGTTTTGGAAAGTCATGAAATATATTTTAGTAAATTCATCCTTAAAGTTCTCTTCATCCTAAGAGCCAACAACCAAATCATATAGCTCCCTTTGTTAATATTCCATTTCACTTTAATGCTTCTGTTCCTCCTATGTTCAAAATGAAGAAAGGTGAGAAACATGGAAGGGATGAGATTGGCATCAAAAGGGAAAACCTCAGTAAATCAATTCTTCAGTTTGATTCCCTGTCAGTGGAACACAATATCTCTCTCTCTCTCTCTCTCTCTCTCTCTCTCTGTCTGTCTGTCTGTCTGTCTGTCTCTCTCTCTCTCTCTCTATATATATGTAATATATTACATATACATATGTATTATATATAGAGAGAAATATATTACATATATGTGTGTGTGTGTATGTATATGTATATGTATACACATATGTGTGTTTATAATTAGGAGCCTCCTTTCTGAAAAGTCCAGTAGACTTTAATCTCATTGAGGGCTGGTACTATTTTGTTTTTGTCTTTGTATACCGAGTGCTTATCCCATAGTGAGTGCTAAATAATTATTTGTTGAATTAAATCGAACTATATTCTGCAGACACGTCTCCATACACATTAATATAATATGGTTTCACAAAAACCAGAAGTTTAGGTAAAGCAATATGGCTGGGGGCAAATTATCTCCATAGCAGTAATAGTGTTACTAGAAGGTGTGCTCCTGAGAAACCATAAGATTCATTAATAAAACTAAATATCTGTCTTTAAACACAAAATTGAGGAAGCTCATGCTTTGTCTGGTTAGGATTTTTATGATATGCTAATAGACCTTGGACAAGTAATTTTATTTTCTCAGTGCCCTCAAGAATCTGTTTAGAGACTTTAAGTAGCAAAACCATTAGTAAAGGGAGATTTGTCATCTACAGTTCTATACATTGATCAATTCACAGGTCTAGACCAAAGAAAAAATAGCCTGTGAAACCTTATTCTATTACTAATAAAAGGTATCACAAAATTCTTGGCCAGCAAATAGAATTTCACCTGGATGGAAGAAGAGTAGAAGATGAAATAGAGATATAAGTCATATAATCAGAGAATTTCTGAGTTGGAAAGGACTTCGGTACAAGAGAACCATAGATTAATTTCATAGTCCAACTTGGTTCAAAATAGAATATCATTATTGTATGAGCAACAAGTTGCCATGTAGCCTTTGCTTGAGAACCTCCAAGGAGAAGGTACCCACTACCTCCTGAGGTACCCCATTCTTTTTTTGCATAGCTCCAGGTATTAGAATGCTTCTTTATATCAAATCTAAAATTTGTATCCCTCGTCTCCATCTCTTCCTTCTAGATTAAGGGTTAGCAAACTATAGTTTGTGAGCCAAATCTGACCTGCCACTCATTTCAGTAAAATCTGAGAGCTAAGAGCACCTATAAAACCAGGCTGCTGGTCAGTTTGCCAACCTCTGCTTTGTAGCTATTCAGTCATTCAGCTGAATCTCATTCTTCATGACCCCATGGACTATAGTATAGCAGGCCCTTCTATCCTCCACTTTCTCTTGTTGTCTGTCCAACTTCTTGTTTGTTGTTTCCATGACACTATTTATCCATCTGCTGTCCCCTTTTTCTTTTGCCTTCAATCTTTTCCAACATTAAGATCTTATCCAATGAGTCCCATCTATTCATTATGTGGCTAAAGTATTTAAGTTTCAGCTTTAGTATTTGACCTTCCAGGGAATAGTGTGAACTAATTTCTTTAAGTATTGATTGATTTGATCTCCTTGCTGTCCAGGAGCCTCTCAAAAGTCTTCTCCAGCACAACAATTCAAAAGTAGCAGTTCTGCAGGGCTCACCTTTCCTTATAGTCCAACTCTCACAGCCATACATTGCTACTAGAAAAACCAGCTTTGACTATGCAGACCTTTGTTGACAAGGTGATATCTCTGCTTTTACTATGTTGTCCAGATTTGCTATAGCTTTTCTTTCAAGGAGAAAGTGTCTTTTAATTTCATGAATGCTATAGCAGTGATCTTTGAGTCCAAGAATATAAAATCTGACACTACCTCCATGTCTTCTCTCTTTTTGCAAGGAAGTGGTGGGACCACTTGTTAAGATTTTAGAGTTTGTTTTGTTGTTGTTGTTTTTAAGCTTCAAATCAGCTTTTACATTCACCTTTCACTCTCATCAAGAGGCTTCTTAATTCCTCTTCACCTCTGCTCTAAAGGTTCAAAAAGAGCCCACTTCTACATGACAGCATTTCAAATATTTGACAGTTACTATCTTAATCCTGAAACTTTCCCTTTCTAGTATAAATACCTCAGTTCCTTCAACTAATTCTCATAAGACATGGACTTATGGCCCTTTACCATTCTTGTTTCCTTCCTCTAGGACCGCTGCAGTTTATCAAGGTCCTTTCAAAAATGTAGCATTCAAAACTGAGCACTATCTTCCATAAGCGGTTTGACCAGGACAGAGCAACAGTGAGCCTATGATCTCCCTATCCTTCAAATTTATGCCATTCTTAATGCAGTCCACAATTACATAAGATTTTCTGGCTGATATATCACTCCACTCACCTGCCTTGAATCCTCTAGAAATCCAAAATCTTTTTCAAATGAAATGTTCTCTAGTCAAGCCTCCCTTACATTGTGTTCATGACTTTACATTCATCCCTATTAAATGTCATCTAGTTGGATTCAATTTGTTTTTTTCCTAGTCTGTCAAAATCCTTTTTCGATCCTGTCATCCACCATGTTATATATCCCTCCTAGTTTTGTGTCATCTTAAAATTTGATAATAGTGTTAGCTATCCTTTTAGCAACATCACTTATAAAATACATTTTCAAAGGACAGGGTAAGAGCAGATTCCCAGGATAGTAAACTGGAAATCTTCCAATTTGACATGGATTATTAACAACATTTGGATCCCAGTCATTCATCTTATTCTGGATCCATACTTGTATCATATATAGGCCAATTATGGCAACTCAAATAGAAACAGAAACAACTAACTCATGTATCAGTATATTGCAGTTGTATATTGACTGATAGAACTACATAATAACATTATCTATGTTCTGTTGTGTTTTTATTTCTCTTGTTAAATATTTCCCAATT